GTTTCCATATAACTTCTGATAATTCGGTGAAATTTCGAAATAATTCCTGATCATCCTTGTATTTTGAAATACATTCGAACTGCCCGAAGTTCATCAGAAGGATTTCTGATTAATTTGATATGTTGATGGAATATATGGAGAACTCAATTTCAATTTCCAATTAGTCATACGTGTTCGATATTAATTCTGATAATTTGGAAGAAATCCTGATCAATTTGATGTGATGAGGGAACATATGGAGAACTCGATTTCATTTTCCGATATAATTTCTTATTATTCGGAATAATTCCTGATAATTCCAATATGATATGATCAAGGAATTTATGGAGAATTTGATTTCAATTTGCAATCAATCGAAGGGTTTCCATATAACTTCTGATAGTTTGGAAGAATTTTTGACCATCCTTGTATTTTGAAATATATTCTAACTGCCCGAATGTCTACAGAAGGATTTATGATCAATTTGATGTGTTGGTGGAATATATGGAGAACTCATTTTCAATTTCTGATTAGTCATACGTTTTATATATAATTTCTGATTATTCGGAAGAATTAAAGATCAATTTGATGTGATGAGGGAATATGCAGGATTCGATTTCAATTCCCGATAAGTCGTAGGTCTTCGATAGATAAGATAAGATTTTGAAGAACTCCTGTTCAGTTTGATATGATGAAAGAATATATGGAGATCTCAATTTCAATTTCGGATCCGTCGTAGGTCTTCGATATAATTTTTGACATTCGGAAGAATTCCTGATCAATTTGATATGATGAGCGAACTAGCGAAAAAGGACTCGTGGACCTACGAACAAGAAAATGTGGCAACGTGCACGCTAACTTGAATGACCCATTAAATGCGTAAATTTGACTCATTTTATGCTATTATTCCAAACTGTCAAAAAATGGGTATTTTCAAAAAATGAAAAGCGGGTAATTTTTAATCATTTTAAAATTATCTTCTTGCAATAAAAATGGGTAAAAAAGGGTTTGGTGAAATGGAAGAGCAAAGTGTTTTGAAAGTTAACGGATTTCGCGTGTGCTATGTCCTGCAAATTGATCGGAATTCGAGCGATAAATACCGCGTTTCAAAAAAAATATGCGGCGGAGGCAGCAGATTCTTTCCGGCCGGTGTTGATTCTGGTTAAAAGGGTGATCGGGTAGTTCCATTATTTCCATAAGAGTCAAACCGCAAACCTAAGTGTTGGGGAAGATCCGAGAGAAGATCAGCACGGCATTTCTGTGTGCTTTCAAGACCCGATTGCTACGAAGAATGTAATTATGATTAAATTTAGGTATGTATTCTAAAAACCGACGGTCCCGTTTCAGGTTAGCAGATTAATAGCGGGTTCGGAGAATAAAACGATGGTTATATGCCCAGGAATTCAAATCCGATTGTACATTTGGAACGAATAGAGGCAACTTCTTTACCCTACAAAAATTACAATAATGTCTACAACTTACTGCAACACTCGCATATTCCAGTACATCGGTTAATTCTAGTGTTTATGATTAGCTATGTGATTATGTTTAATAAAGACTATGAAGTGTTTTAATGATTTTAGCTTTTACAAATGTTCAAATCCCTTATATTTCTCAGTGCTTATATTTGATGGCAGCCAGCCCAATGAAGCAAATAAAAAAACAATCAATAAAACGGTTACTTTTTACTCATTTACAGAAAAAAACAAGATGATTAAAAACTACCCATTTTATGAAGTATTATTCGAATACTCATTAATGAGTAAAGTCGCTTTTACTCATTTCATGAGTTAAGCCACTTTTCTTCAAAATGAGTCAAATTTTACTCATTAATGGGTACTTTAGAGTTAGCGTGTGGTAAAACAAATGCGTAATTGCTGATTGCTTCTTTACTATGTCCGTGACGAATTTACAGCGAGAATGTTTGGCGCATGGTTTGGAAATTGAAAAACCATGCTACAAATTTTCGAAAATCATATGTTTATGTATACCATCATGTTGTGCATAGTCTGCAGAATGTCCTGGTATAAAAATATGGTATACTTTCTTGGGAAATTCCCGGGAAAACATAGGCGCAAGATTGCATTTCCTTGCGCGCACATATACACTCACGTGCATATTCTCTTTGGGTGGAAATGCCATTTTCCCGGAAAAAGCACACCACTTGAAGTTGAATGCACTTTTCCACCCAAATTTTACCCCACTAGGAAAACAAAATCCTTGGCTACAATCGGACGGAATTTGTTTCCCGATATTCGCTTTCCTTCACAGGATTTTCGGGACGTTTCCTGGAAAACCACCCAAATCACAGACAAACGGCTCAAAATGTCCGAACGATGGCCTTAAACGTCACCTGCAGGCCTGTTCTGCGAGTAGTATGACTCTCTGTCGCTAGTAGGGTGACGGTGGTCGCCTCGGGTGAGGTGACTCTTCATTGATTGCACGGAGAGTCGCCCCACTAGTGAGTGACTTTTGTTGACTCATTGGTGGTGGAGATTCGCACGACTCGCGGAATAGGTCAGATAGAAAGATTTGCATTTATTAAAGATTTTGAAAAGCTAAGAAGTCAAAATGGTGTTGACAAAATCTAACGGGTAATGACGATATAAATATATATATATATATATAAATATACACACATTAAATGCAAAGGGGAGGGATGGGACCACCAGGGCACCGGATTGAAGCGATTTGGATGGGGAGAGTGGAATTGCCAACTCCTTGTCATTAACATTTCGTGAATTGACGGCGGGCTCTTCTCCCCACTCATTGGGACGTTCCCTCGTATGATGGCTTGTTCTACATCGGGTTGTAGGATTTTATCATTGGAAGGCGACTCTCCTGATCCCGCGGATTACGCGTAAGTGTATCTGCTTACGGGTCCGCCCCTCCGTTTTTGGCCCTTCTTACAATGGTAAATTGAATACAACCAGGTATCGTACTTGATCAAGTCATACTTGGAGGATGATCCACTGTCTAATGGCTGTGCCTTGCAACAATGAGTGGTATCCTTTACAATACATACACATACATATTCGGTTCAGTTTACCGAGTTTCTCGGTTTTCGCGTAGCGAATTCGTAAATGTCGATACTTTACCGTACTTTTTGGTTCAGTCTTCATTTCTATCTGTCAAATTTATACTATTTTACCGAAATTTGGGTCTGCTTCGATAAATACGTCTGAAAAAATGTTTTTAAACCATTTATTCGGTTTCTCGTTGGTAACCGAAGAGATTCGGTAGAAAATTAAACCGAGTTCGGTACTATTTTCTAAGTGTGTGAATAATCAACAATAGAAATTTGCCAAAAGGTATAAGGAGATTTCTATCCGTGTATATCTATAGCCTATAAATTATTTCGGTGTATGGCAGTGTAGCACCGGTGTAGCTACACCGCAAAAACGAAAACGACATTAGATTTTCGATTTACCCCTTGCATGTGCCTCCCGGTAAGACGTAGTCCACGTCAAACACTCATAAAATTCGACACATTTTTATCGGCGAATTTCCATGTAAAATTCCACATGATTTTCATGTGTCCACATATAAACAGAATCCACTCAGAAGTATATATGAAATGTATGAGTCAAATGAATAGTATGTGCACAGACAAACAGACATAACACTCGGAAGATGTTCATCGAACAAGCATTTAACGGTCAATTTAAAAGTATCGTAGTTGGTAGTACCGCCACCTGTGGCGCGTATAGTCAATTCCCTTGAGTTTGACGTTTACACACTACCGCCATCTGTTCAGCGTACTACCTACCACAGTGTACTCAACAGATGGCGGTCATGTTTTAGCGACGATGTTTTACATTGAGAAATATTCAATGTGTTTTGTCTGTTTGTCTGTGGTATGTGTGTGGTTTCACATGAATTTTATGTCTACACATGAGAACTATGCTACCCATAATCGCATATCAGTCCCATCTTTGCTTGATTTCCTATCCATATGGGACTGATATCCGATTATAGGCAGTATGGCGATGGTGATCGATATATCATTTGTTTATCACATTGCAAAAATTCATGTGTGGGACACACAAAAATTATCATTGAATTTTTATTAGTGAACATTACCGAACAGGGAAACCGCGATTGTGTGTCTTGATTACATAACATTGGGCCATATGAATAAAAAGAGTTTACTTTCCCGTGCTTTTCTTACGGGAAAAGTAAAGTAAACGCTTACGACCTATTTTACGACCTTCCGTGTATTCCTTGCCTCCGTTAAAATCCCTTGTTTGCAATCTGCTTGTACGAAACTTTTTCTTGTTTGGGAATCCATGAAATGACAATGCAGGACAGCTGTCATTTGATGCATCAAGCCGTAAACAGGCGCAAAGAAGAAAAATAAAACAATCCATATCGTCATCAAGCAGTCTGGGGGTGAAAAATTCAAAAGTATCATCAACAGTAAGCTGTGATTTTTTTTTCGGTTTGAGGGAATAAAAAGTTGAAAAAATAATTTTCATCCGTGAATTTCGATCGTAAACGATTAATTTCATGAAGTATTAATGGGCTATACGAAAATAATAACATAAACCGGTGAAAAAAGCGTGTGTTTTTACAGTTTTTGTTGAAGTGTTTGTACATTCGGAATTGCCGATCGATTTTTACCTTTTCGCGAAGCGAAATTTTATTGCTCACTCTTTTTTGTTGTCACTTTTTAATTGTGCATCTGTGTGTGCGGCGGAATCTGTAGTTTTAGTATTTAATATACCTAACGTGAAAATCTACGTGACCTGTTCCTTCGTCACAACAGCTTGAAGCTATTTTTATCCTACGAAACAATATAAAATCAACATCCCAACCTAAGGTAAATTTTGTTCCGTGGTGCGGTAGAATACAGATATACGTAGCACCAATACTTGGTAAAATTTGCTTTCCTGCCGTTTGTCTAGATTTATGCCGGAAAATATTCCCTGAATTCTAGTGATGCTAGTTGACGAACTGAAATCAATTAATCAATTTAAAAGCTAACAACAATTTTCCTTTTTCCTTTCACCTCCACATAGGTTCACTTCGCTAACCTTAGTCCATCGGAGTCCGCTATGAACGAGCCATCCAACTCCAACTTCGAGAACACAGACGGTAAGTCATCTATATTTTATTTCCTATATGTAGGTATCCCATTTCAGTTTATCCGGTCTGGGCTGTTGCATCGTTCCTACCACTTTTACTTTCTGTGGGCTATTTAAATGAAAGGACAAAATCTCCTGTGCGATTTGAAACCCATCGACAACAGAGCAAAATGTATTCAAAACAATGACCTTAGCAAGTCGCAAGAGCAAGTTGAAATCTGATAACACACAGTGTACCTAGGACTGGAAGTTTTTGTTTAGCTTGCGCTCGTTAAGGTGATTTCCGATAACAACCACCGACTTGGTGTATAGGCCAAAGGTAATCGCTTGTGCTGTTAAGTCTTGGGAACGCGTTGTTTGCTTTGATTCTTTATGATGACTGCTAGCTAATCTCTCTAGGAAAATGAGCGTTGTCTGTGTATGAATGATCGTAAAAAAACAAATGATTGTGAGCTTTATCTAGAGAATGCATGGTAAAATAGAGTTTACGCATTATAATAAAATTTACAGTGACTTTAAAGGACTGTTTATGTTTGAAAGATGGATAAATAGGCGAAACCATCAAAAACTCACTTAAGCACTTTGACCATATGTTTAGTATTACTTCTGCGTGAAGTCAACGATTTACATAGTTGAAGATGCTAATTTCAAATAACATACTAAAGTGGTAATTTTTATACGATAGATGAGGAGATGAAAGTATAGAATTAATAGTTTCGTTAGAGTACGGCTGTGTAAAAATTGCATGTAGAGAGTAGAAAGCGAGCTAGGACAACTTTATGAAGGTACAAATCGGTTTTATCATCTCTCTTTACCAAACTCCCCCGTTGGAGAGGGATAGTGAGGGGTGTCCCCCCGCCATCAGTCTGTTTGTTTATTTGTTTATTTGTTATGTTTGCATCAACAGACTAGAAATAGTCCCAATGATGTCTTGTAAAAAAAAAGTACAGATTATACAGACTACATAAAGGGTGATACGGTCAAAATTTGGTCAAGGGAAAACGCGTGTAAATCGGTGAAATCGTTTATTTAAAAAATCAAATTAAATTTCTTTTTCAAGTTCAATTAGTATAAAATTCAGGAAAAATATTCAGTTAGGCTTCCGCTTTTCCAAATCCGAATTGCCGGGCCTTACGCTTGACCCCTGCCATCAGATTTTGTACAGCCACCTTGTCCACCTTCTTCGCCGCAGAAAGCCAGTTTGCCTTGAACTGCTGCTCGCCCTTATTGATATTGACCAAATTTTGACCGTATCACCCTTTATACCTACTACAGTTACTACAGTTACAAACGAAAATAACTAGGAAAGCATTGTCAAGTTACTAAAAATTTATAAGTCTTAAATTTTACACTTAGCTGTTGGGCATCAAGCGCCTTCGGTCAGCAAAAAAGGTAGAGAATCTTCGGCGAAGCATATTCCGTGTCAAGTGGAAATCGAACATCTTCCCTACTCGGTTGAACACTCGCTGCAAGCAGTAAATAGCGCTCCCTAAGCTATAATTAGTTCAAAGAAGTGGAAGTCTCAGCATATGACTGTTGCGTAGTGATCGAGGTTGAACATTAATGTTCACTTGTTGCAGAATTGCTTCGCAGTCGATTCTTCCTTGCAGAGTATCGGCGACGGTTAAGGCTCTGAAAACATCTCTTCGGATACGTAAAGGCTCGACATTGATCAATTGGCAGCGATTCTCGTAGCTTGGAAGACGAAGTGTGTATCTCCAAGGTAGCTTACGGAGCGCGAAGCGAAGAAAACGTCGTTGAACAGATTCAATTCGCTCGGCCCCATTATTGTAGTTCGGGCTCCAGACTGCAGAGCAGTATTCTAACGTAGATCGTACGAGAGAGCAATAGAGCGATTTCAAGCAGTAAATGTCTGTGAAGTTCTTGTAATCTTGAAGACAAAGCCAAGCGTTCTGGACGCTTTGTTGACGACATACGATATATGGTGTGAGTATGTCAGCTTTGAGTCTAGAAAAACGCCTAAGTCTTTCACGCAATGCACCCGTTCGATAGTCGTGCCTAGTAGTTTGTAGTTGAAAATAATCGGTTGTTTCTTGCGTGAGAAAGTGATAACTGTACACTTAGCTGGGTTGACCACCAGTCGGTTTAGACTACACCAGTCAGCAAAGATGTCAATCTGATTTTTGAGAGAACGGCAGTCGGCGAGTGAGCGAATGCGCAGAAAAACTTTCAGATCGTCTGCAAACGATAATCGTGGCTCTGTGATAACATGGTGAACGTCGTCGAAGTAAAGGAGAAATACCTATGGTCTCAGATGGCTACCCTGAGGTATACCGGACTTTGCGCAGAATGCTGAGCGACAAGTACCCAAAGTTACTGTCAGTTGGCGCTCCGTGAGGTATGAACGAAACCATCTCAAAATATTCCTAGCCTATCAAGCTTAGCGATCGCAATTTCGTGGTTCAGCTTATCGAAGGCTGCCGTAAGATCTGTGAAGATAACGTCCGTTTGGGTCCGCGCAATCAAACTGTCTGTGATGTAAGACGTTAAGCACAGCAGGTTCGTAGTTGTAGAACGCCCAGTTATGAATCCGTGTTGATCTGTACTTAGATATTGCTTGCAATGCGCATTTAGGGACTCTATGACTATGTTATTTGAAATTAGCATCTTCAACTATCACTACTTAAGTAATTATTTACCAAAACAAAGTAGTCACTAAAATCACCTTTTCACCTCCAATTTATATTGGTGGTGAAAAGGTGATTTTAGTGACTACTTTGTTTTGGAAAACAAAGACTTAAGTGAGTTTTTGGTGTAAAAAGTGGCGTTTTAGTGACTGCGAAGGAATTGCAATTGGAAAATCACATCACAATGATTAAATTGACTGCAGTGGTGCTTGGGTACTTGGGTAATCATAGTAAATTTATTGACAATTCTTTCAAGTTGAAATCAGTTGCAATGAAGCTTGCATGTTTTGTTATATCATCGATAAATATGGCGATCCAAAAAGCAGAACTGTGACTTGACCTCTGGACGAACGAATTTCAGGATGGGACTGATATGCGATTACTTTGCTTAATGGGACAAACTGACTTGATGTTGTTTTCACTTTTTTCATGATCAAAGTCCGTAGTTTTATCACGTAATATGTAAGGAGATGCCAATTGATAGTGGATAACGTTGTTATCTTAAAATTGATAAAAATCCATATGAGACTGATATGCGATTATATGCAGAATATTAAAGTACCACACTGCGAAAATCTTTTGTAAATGTCGATGATATGAGACTGACAGATACGAGCATCGCTTTTGAAATTTATTTCCATGTTTTATGTCACATCTGAATTCCAATGTTCGTTCTACAGAGGAACTTCAAAGGAGATATGCCTAGAGCTCCAAAGCAATTTTACGAAGAATTTCAATATAATTGAGAAAGTAGACAAGGTCCAATTCTAACAACTAATCAACATATTTTTTAAGGGAAAAAATCATTCCTCTTCATGGGGTAAACAATGTAAGATCCGGAGTGTTCCATTTCTTACATAAAAATAACTGTTATTAAAGTTGAAGTTGCTAATTTCAAATAACAGACTAAAGTGGTCATTTTTATAAGATAGATGAGGAGATGAAAGTATAGAGTTGATAGTTCCGTTAGCCGGCACCGGTGGTGTAGTGGAAAGCGTGACTGCTTTCCCACCCCAATGGGTATGGGTTCAATCCCAGCCGAGGTCGGTGGGATTTTTCTGAGGCATAAAAATCTCTGGTCACGTCTTCGGAAGGGAAGTAAAGGTGCACAGGTAAAAAGTGAGGCTACGAGACGCCAGTCTTTAAGGTGTGAGTCCTTATAAAGTCCACAAATGGCTGCCACCTAGGCTATACATGCACTTCCACTTCGAATGTTCAATTACACAAATATCGGAAATCGCTACTTCATGTATGCTGCAGTGCATCAAACGTGGAGTAACAATTTGAATGTTGCACGAAGTGGTTCCCGAAGTGGATGTCACAGCGATTCACCGTAAGATTACCGAACTGCCCAACAAGCTTATCTTTTGCCGAGATGATTGCCAAGCACTTGGCGGTGAAAATCTCGGCATTTGGTTTGCCTTAGTACTTTTAGTGTGTACGATTTCCCATCAGCGGAATCCGGTCGCGAACTAGCGTACTAAAGGGTGATACGGTCAAAATTTGGTCAAGGGAAAACGCGTGTAAATCGGTGAAATCGTTTATTTAAAAAATCAAATTAAATTTCTTTTTCAAGTTCAATTAGTATAAAATTCAGGAAAAATATTCAGTTAGGCTTCCGCTTTTCCAAATCCGAATTGCCGGGCCTTACGCTTGACCCCTGCCATCAGATTTTGTACAGCCACCTTGTCCACCTTCTTCGCCGCAGAAAGCCAGTTTGCCTTGAACTGCTGCTCGCCCTTAGCAGTTTTTTTTGGTCTTCTTTAGGTTCCGCTTGACAATAGCCCAGTATTTCTCAATTGGGCGGAGCTCTGGCGTGTTGGGAGGGTTCTTGTCCTTGGGAACCACCTGCACGTTGTTGGCGGCGTACCACTCCATGGCCTTTTTACTGTAATGGCAAGATGCCAAATCCGGCCAAAACAGTACGGAACAACCGTGTTTCTTCAGGAAAGGCAGCAGACGTTTATTCAAACACTCTTTCAGGTAAATTTCTTGGTTAACAGTCCCGGAAGCTATGAAAATGCTGCTTTTCAAGCCACAGGTACAGATGGCTTGCCAAACCAGATATTTCTTTGCGAACTTTGACAGTTTCATGTGCTTGAAAACATCTGCTACCTTTCCCCTTCCTTTTGCCGTATAAAACTCCTGTCCCGGAAGCTGCTTGTAGTCGGCTTTGACGTAGGTTTCGTCGTCCATTACCACGCAGTCAAACTTCGTCAGCATCGTCGTGTACAGCCTCCGGGATCGCGCTTTGGCCGTCGTATTTTGTTTATCATCGCGATTTGGAGTCACTACCTTCTTGTAAGTCGATAGTCCGGCTCGTTTTTTGGCTCGATGCACGGTTGTAGACGATACACCCAGC